ACCCAAACCCAAACCCTTAATTAGATATAATACAAAACATGATAATATGATGAACTATAAAGAATAATTAATTTATGGAGTTATCTCATTTACTTATTATTTTCTATCTAGAACTATGCAAACTATTTGAAAATATGCATTATTGACAAAATTATTGGTTTTTCAGATATCTTTTAATTCTTTTACTCAGAAACTTTTTGTGAAACTTAAAAAGTTCTGGGAATAGAGAAATTTCATTTATTATCGACTATTAGGCTCTGAAATTTCCAATAAAAATTGCTTAAGATAACTCTTTTCCTTATCAATATATATTTTAATTTCTGCTCTAAATTGGAGAATATTATGTAATATAAGTATGAGAATTCATGAGCATCAATATACTTTTTAATATTATTAAAAAGTTAAAACATGTTGCTTTCCATAAAATATCCTTCTTTATAGAAGTTACATTATAATTTGTTATTAACTATAAAACTGATTATTTTAGGCAGCTTTTAAAGAGATTTGATTCATTCAATCATTCTTATTTATATTACAAAATAAACAATTAGGTTGAAATTTTGATTGGACTTATGTTTTCGTTTAAGTCTTTAGTACAATGGGGCCATGATGCAATCTTTTTTTCGAGGGAAAACTATTTCCATACTTTCTGGCATTAAATTAAAAAAAAGTAGTTTAGTTATTGAAACCAACCAAATGCTTTTTAATATAAAATTAATTGTACTCATTTTAATCATTGCGATTTTAAAAGGCAATTCTTTTTCAAACAATTTAAATAGATAAATTCCTTTTTCCCTTTCTGATAAATCACAGCAATTATTATAATAATTTTTTCGCTAAGGTTTAATTATAGGGTTTTCTCTAAGTATTAGCCTGAATATTATTTATAGTATTTTGTGTCTGCCTATTCGAATTTATGGCAATATAACTCTTCTGTCTTTTTTAATAAATCACTTATTTGGTTATCATTTCTATATAATTTTGTAAATCTAAATTCTATTATTGAAATTTAGATATTTATATTGATCAAAAATTATTTGCTATTTAAATAATAATTTTAATAGAAATAGAAAATGT